CGTTCTTGAGGGCCCAGATTTGCCGCTTGCCTCCTGCCCACGCTGACATCTAATGGCAGGTGCAACTCTGAGAATTTTCAAAAAAATTTATTTCTTAAAAAATATAGACACAATCTACTGTCTTTAGTTTGTTTTAAAACCCTATGGGCTTTTGTGGTCCAAATTGTGAGTTTCTCACTGAATTAATCCCATTCTGTATGTAGTCAAGAGGCTTCAAAAAAAGGGATTCATAGAAGTGCTTAAGTTTCCTTCTAGTACTTATTCTCTAGTTATTTGCCCGGCTAGTTACCATATTTTTCACCAAATTTGCAATAGGAACAGCAAAAAGGAAATCCTTTTTTTTTTTTTTTTTTTTTTCTGATTTGCTTCTTTGCTGGAGAATTTTTTACACTGGATTTTTGATGTATAGAAAATTAAAGACTGCTAAGCCTCCTTGCACTCATCATTCTGCACCTCACTTGTTTATGCACTGTCACCTCAGCAGCAATACATGTGCTGTTCGCTGGGGAACRTGCATATTGTGTTCCCCTCTTGTGTGCACTTCTCTGTCATTGCATATTAGAAAGAAGGTGGGGGGTGGGTGTGTGGGGAAGACTGCTGTCATCCAAAAAGTGCTAATTTTAACGAGTGCTATTTAGTCTTTCTTGTGGCAGTGTATTTAAAATTGGTTCTTGTTTTGTTCTATTACAGGCCCAAGTTCGGTCAGTAATGACCTCAATAGTGCCTGTTTTAATGTAATCCCTCCTTGCTGACTGCTGTTCCAAGAATAAAAATTTAAGCCAAAAGATTTAATGAAATCCTTTGGGATTAGTGCTCACTGGGCTGGGGAAATTGCATATCAACCTTTTCTCTGTACTCTAACCATAAGGTTTGGTATTTGAATAGGAGGGTGTCCAAGAGAGACAACTCGGAGTTCATCAATAATTTACATTTTTGTTAGTTACAAACCTGGTATTTGGGATTCTGTTGCCATAGCAATCCATCTGGACCTGAACGGATAGTGTTTTAAGTGATGGTTGTATAGGGATTCACAGTGTGTGCTTTAAATCTCATCTAAACTAATCCTCAGATCTGTTCTGTGACTTATTTGAGGCTTCAACAAAATCAATGTTACTCATAGCAAAAAGTTCATGTTGAGCAAATTAAGCCTATAAAATATTAGAGTATGCATATGACTAAGGACTTAAAAGTTGATAATGTAGGACAATTTCTGTTTCAATACGTGAAGCAATTAATAAATGTCCACAACTCCATTTTCTCAAAATACATTTAATTTGTTGCAAATTATGCAACTAGAAATTATCCAGACTATGTACTGGTTTATTAGATAATTTATACTTCATAATGGAATGCTAACCTCATTTTCCTAGATGTCAGGTTTATGTTTTACAGGATGTCAGTCTATTGATAATACTGTGTAACTTCCACTTTCCATTAATGTGGTATTTTCTCTCCTAAATGATTCTAAGGCTGAGAATAAAATCTGAATTCCCATTTTTCTTCCTAGTGCTACTAAATCTGGGGTTTGAGGCTGAGTAAGTTGAGTTGCCTATCACCAGCGTTGTTAAGCTTGACTTCTGGCTAATAAATTTGACTTTGCAACCCAAAATTTCCAAGCAAAGCTTATTCAAAGCCTCCCACACAGGCCATCTAAAGAGAAGCCCTCAGGTATAACAGGCAATTAAAAACTCCTCAGCAAATCTGAGAGAAATTTCAGCTTTATCAAGGACACTCCCGAAACTAATGAAAATGTTGTCCAGTTGTATTCTTGAGCTGTCACTAGGCTGTAGTATATCCAGCTTTGCAATAATATTCCTTAGTCTTTGAAAGAAGAAAGGTAAAAATATACGAAGATGCTCTTTCGTCTTTGGTTCAAGGTGAATTATGAAGGGTGTAAGTAGAAGAACCATATTTTTGTCATGATTTTGTGATACTAAAAGGTTCTTTGTTGCCTGTAATATATATGTAATACATATGTAAATCTAAATATGTTTATGAGTTAAAAAAAAAGAATTTCTTGAAAAAAAAAAAACCTATCAGAACTCTCTTGATTGCAGTGGAGTAGGAGTTCATTGTATGAGCAAAAATATGGATGCATATCCTTAAGTTCTGTGTGACTGATTGAGCTTCATTTATTCTAGAGATCCAGGGTTTTTTCCACAGCTTAATGAGACTATTTCCCTAACTGTTTACAACTAAGTGTAACTGGAGAAGAGAACTTAGAATTAACCCAAAAAGCCTTTGTTTTGATTGCTTTTGTGTATCCCTCTAACTAACTGAAGTAAGAGTTGCAGATCATTTACATGATTACTTACCCTACAATTACATGCCCTAAAGTATCTTCTGTACATACCGTTTGTAAAACACGGATTATGCTTCAGCGGGTTATTGCGAGATGCATTCAGGCATATCAAAATGTGTTCCTGTTGCTATTTCCAATGGTTTCATTAGGAAAAAAGAAGTCTTCCCTTTCAAATAGTACTGAAATGAAAGCTGAGCCTGGGAAGATACTAGTAATATGACAGATGCTATTTGTAGCTCTGGAAATATAGTTGTCACTGCGGGGGATCTCCTGCATTGAAGACCCACAGGAGATCAGAACCAAGGGTGAATGAATTAATCTTCTGGCACATCTTATAAAAAATAGCCTGTGCTTAATAGTAAACAACAGAAAGACAGCTGAATTTCTCTTGTAATTTTTTGATCTTTCTCTACAAAAAAAAAAAAAAAAAGAGAGAATATTTTCATAATCCTTTCAAAGCATATGGCAGTCTTCTGGATTACTGCTGATTTTTCCTGATTGGGTTTTACTTACGCATTCCAGATCTGCACCGTGGGTTTTGTACATTTTAGGAACTTCCTCTGACAGCTTCAAGGGAGCAGCCAGGCTGTCTCTATTTTCACTTAATGAAGCACCACTCTTACTCATGGCTCCGCTTAATTTTGCTTCTCCTGTCTAGAGCATGACCTGCATTTTTGTTCAGCTATTTCCAATTAATATTCAAGTAAACAACCCTCTTTTCTTTCCTTTGCACTTTCTGACTTTGCGGTGGTAGAAACAGTTAATCTTTGGGAAGGCTCAGCGAYAGATGACACAGCTGGACACAGCTTAGAGAAATGGGGCAGACGGAGACAGGGCACCACAGCGCACGTGTGCTGGCTGCGAGTGTTTGTTTCTCCAAAGCACTTGCAGCTCCCGTTGTTCCCATACAAGATGTACATGGAGACCCGAACCAAAAGCCTGGGTTTGAACCCCAGGGAAAAGCCTGCGTTTGAACCTCTGTCCCTACATTGAGCCAAGCTAAGAGCTTGCAGGTGTGGAAAAAAATCAGATTTGTGTCTGAATTTCTAATTGTAGAATCATAGGATCATTATAGTTAGAAAAGAAGACCTTCAAGATCATTGAGTCCAACTATTAGCCCTTCAACGCCCTGCCTGTTAAACCATGTCCTCACGTGCCTCCTCTACATGGTTCTTGAACACTGTCAGGGACAGTGACTCCTCCACAGCCCTGGGCAGCCTGTTCCAACACTTCACCGGTGCTGCTGTGTAGAAATTCTTCCTAAAACACGTAAGATGAGGAGGGTTTGAATGACAGGGAGGGAGAGGCAAAATTTTGGTTAAAGTAAAATTTGGCAAGAGATATTTGAATACAGTAGGTCAGATTAGGTCCATTACTAGCTGTATCAGCAGATCCACAACTAGTAAGGAGCACCAATCTGCATAAGCCCTGCCAAGGCCCTTTTTGACTATGTTACAAACTCTAGGAAAGAAATGAGGTGATCCTACAGCTGTGTGTTGCACCAGCACCTAAATTATCCTAAGCCCTTCCTGAGACAAGGGTTTCCTATCRCTGTCCAGCTAATTTAGCGCTGTTTGAGTGCTCCACAACTGCCTATTGACATCTAAGACATAAGAGAGTAGACTGCTAACCAGAAGAGCTAAGCCACATAGTTTTTAAAGGGATTAAAAATGAATAATGAAATAATACTGTGTGCTTTGGACTCGTGGAATATATAGCCCTCAGCTCAAACACATGTGATTTGTTGCCCAATAAGTTCCTTCAGTGGATTGCCATGCAAAAAATGCCTTCTGGGATGTCACAGATGTTAAAAGAAAAATACAGGAGGCAGTATTAATTTCTCAATAAAAACAGAGGGGAAAGTAGATTTCTAACTCAGTTATATTCTGGACCCTTTATTATTTGGGTCACTAATGACAGTAGCCRGGCTCGTTTGGAATGAGATGCTGCAGGGAACCGTGATTTGCCTTTTCTAAAGAGTAGAGAAAGRGCTGACGTGATGCAGGCTGACAGTGTTATGTAATAACCATTTCATCCTTCTCTGGCAAAGTTGATCCTAAAGTAAAAATGTATTCACCTATCTTGTTCTCATCCATTCGACTCTTTCTTTTTTAACTGCTTCAGACAAATTACAATCTTTGATGGTGCTAATTGCCAGCACTARCCTGGGGGCCAAGCACTGAACGGGCAGCTGCAGCGCAACCCCGCGCTCGCCTCCAAAGCCTGGGATAAGGCTGCGGCTCTCGCTGCTCTCTTCTCCTCCTCCTCACTCTAATGGAGTAATTTGGCCCAGATCTAACACAGCGTGAGAATTTAATTTCAAACGGGGGATTGCCCGGGCGCAGGTGTGAGAGCCTGCCACGCTCCCCAAAGCACACAGAGCCGCGGGTGGCCGCGTGTGATTTAGAGGCCCAGAGTGTGGTAACGGGTTTCGAAAGATATTTGTGTGCGGAACCTGTGATTCTGTGAAATGATTCTCCATTTCTCCTTGTATTGCAGGACTGGAAACTTGGTCTTTTAAGGAAAATGAGTTGTGTGGATTTTCTTCTTTTCTGGACTCTTTCATGAAAATCGTAGGCTTTATATCTTGGAGTTAATGTAAAACTAAATGTAAAAATGCCAGACTTCTGTGATATGAATGAAACCAGGTCATTTACCTTATATAGATGATTAACACATTTATTTATTTCTCTTACAGAAACGTGGCATCCTGAATAAACAAAGAGAAGAAAGTCAAGCACTCAATCTGTATTGCTAATAGTAAGTGAACTTACTTAATTACATTCTGAAGCTGAGCACTATTTGTACTTGCATCCCATGTATTTTTCCCTGCTTGAACTCATTTCAGTAACAAGTAAAAGAAATGAGGGCAGTGAACATTCCTGCCCTCTGTCCAACTCAGTTTCATTTCACAGAAGTACATTTTTATTCATCCTCTAAGGTAGGAGGCAGTGTATCTTTGTTCCTGCCCATAGTGAAAATACAGCTTTTACTTCTCCATAGAAAGGAATTGTATTGGAAATGTTGCAAACCAATGCCTCAGAAAGTCAGTTCATACTGGGTGAGAACAAAAGAAAATAAAGAGAGTTTTATGGGTTTGTGTTAATTATTGAATACTGTTTCAGACCAGTCACCTACAAAAAATGCACATCTGCTTGTAAAGATTGGTCTTTGATAACTAATGTTTTATAGAACTTCAAGAACTTAAGATTCTYTGTTGAGACAGGAAAATGAGCCGTGTTTGTGTTGTGGATGATATTATTGATGTTGTGCTTTGAAAATAGTCTCAGGTTGCTGAGTAAAGTACCAGTTGTGATACAGTGGAARACAGACAGTGCTTTTATTGCAAATCTCGAGTGACAGCCCTGGCAAAACAAGCAGGGGATATGGTTGTCCTGCCTTACTGGGTATCAAAGTGTAGCAGTATCCTTTGGGAACCAGCATGGGAACCAGCATGGGCATTTCTGCTATCAACTGAAACCAAGCAGTTCCTCGGTGTTATGTGCTAGCAGAGGCTGCCTCTTTGTGGCAGAAGGTTGTGGACAGTACGTACTGTCCAGAGGACGTGTGCAGTTTGGTAACGTTTTGCTCATAGAATGTATATCTGAAAGTACAGCATGAAGTAGAACTGAAAAAATACTGTCATATATGAGGTCTTTGTTTAGCCAAATGAGTGTGTGGAACAGCCTAGATTTGGATGGGAATACATCTTAGATGTCTTTTGACAAGCAAATAAAAATAATACTCCAGTGGAAAAAAAAAATGCAAGCCAAACATATTTTTGGCAAAATAAAAAATATCCAATGTCTGAGCAACCAGGTCCACTTACAGGTCTTAACATTAAGTTTCATCACTGACATCATGAAAGGAAATGTGTGACATTTAACCGAGACTGAAGGTAACATAACTCTGCTTTGAAAATTGGGTGCGACTTATGTAATACACCCAACCGTGCTATCAGACATATAATGAGACATACATATTTCTCATCAGATCATTAGAAAACAAGTCAACTTTCAAAAAGCTCTAAAAAATCAGCATCACTGTTGTCTTCAATTTATTCATTTCTTTTAACTTTCCATTGCTGCTGCTGTCAATCTTGCATTTACAATCTTGGCATCCTGCCAATCCTCCGTTTTCTCTCCTTTTCCTTCTCACTTCCAATGGTTGACATTGGGCATACGCTGTCATACCTCTCCTCTCCCTTTATTTTTCAAGTCTTATATCCACACAGGTAAACTAACTTAACAGCTTCTTACCACACAAAGTGCCATCTCTTCTTCCTCTTTGCAGATTTGACTTGTAGAATGTTCCTGATATTAGATAAATTCTGAGCTTACCAGGTGTCTATAGTATGAAATAGATGTGCTGCAGACCAAAAGAAGCCAATAATACACAGAAAAATGGCATATACCTATATCCAAGGAATTGTGAAGGGTTGCAATTTATGAAATATATATGGGTCRGCTCTTGGAATTTTTATTTGACGTGCAGAGAAATACAATGGGAGTTTGGGGATTTGTTATTTAAAACTCAGGATACCTTCAAATATATCAATTATACTTTTCCCCTGAACATTAAGTTTTGGCAGCAGATGACTGATGGAAGCATGTGTAAATGTTAGCAATTCCAAGCAAGTCATATAACATAAATGATGTAGGCATACAACAAATTGAGAAGTTGCTGCAGGTCTGTCCATAGTAAGTGAATTTCACTRTTACAAACATGCAGACATATTTTCTTTACTTGTATTCCTCTGTCAACTGGCCAGGACTCACAGACAGATTCTGTTCTAGATCAACCTCAATTTATCTATATGTAGTGAGCAAAACAGTCAACTCTTATTGATACTCCAAGACATACAAATTCTCTCTCCCCTGCTGGCAGAATAGGTTGATGGAACCTTTTTGTAGTATCCGTCAGTTAATTTTATCAGTCATGGTTTTGTGATTATAAATTACAAAGGTCCTAACAATGAATATATAATTACAGAAATGAAACTATACAGTGGTTATTTAACATTTGTAATGTGTTAATTTATTTAGCTCTCTCTCTTTGGAATATACATGAGAAATTAGAATAATAAAACAGAAATAAAATTGGGTTTAGCTTTCATCCATCATCGGTGAGGAGAAGTGTTACTGCTTTAGCAKAGTATATGTTCAGCCATGTAGGGAAGTTCATGTAGGCTACCTTTGGGTACACTAAGGAGTAATTCATTCATTTGGCACTGGGCTTGTTCAATTATGCATTTTCATATTAAAGTATTTCTTTTTCTCAACCACATTCTTGAATTAAAAGCTAATTTCAAAAATCTCAGAGCTAAGAGGCAAAAATGCTGTTTTCCAGAAGTAGATAAAATTATTTTTGTTCTAAGTTCTTAATAGGAAATGACAAAATAAAAGCAGTTATATAAACTGTGTTTTATGTTGTTTATTTTTTATCATCTTTATTTTAAATATCRGGCCTTTGTCATTTGGTTTTGGTATTTCAAAACATTTTGTTGAAGGAGAGAAAAAAATCTTGCATTATGTGTACCGAAAAAGCTGTTCACACACAATTAGCAGCAATCAAATTTCATCTGCCACATACTTTAATTTATCATCTATTTGACATCTCTTATGGTTGCTGGTTAATGATAGTTTTTCCACTCTTCTTGCATAAATGCAAGCTCAAGTAATGTCAGAGAAATTAGAGGACTGCACAATTARGAGCTATTGCCTATGGAGGACGGTGGAACGATAATCAGCTGAGAGGGGGTTTGGCCTGTCGAAAATGATGGTGTGGGCAGTCTGACTCCGTGACATCTAGAGGAACTAAATTCCTGTTTTACCTGCCATTAGCTCACAAGCACCCAATATTATAGTTGTTTACCCTCATTTCTGTTTCAAAAGCTACCGTGTTTTGTATATTACCATTTACCATATAATACCCAGAGGGATGAGGTGTGCCAGAGGTAAGGGAGCTAAATGAACAGATCCTTGGTTTTTGGAAGGGTCAATTTTGTATAAGTTGAATTTATGAGCCTGTGAAAAAGAAATGAGCCTGTGGTTTCTGAATGGTCTCTGCTAATCACAATAATCTTCCATTATATTACAGGTTCAATCTTTCATTGCAATACAGTCATCTAGAAGCAGAATGGAAGTGCCCTCATTACCTATGCTCCTAGGTTTTCTCATTGCCCATTAAGATTCCTGTGCATATACTGCAGGGTTGGATATAATAGTTCATTTGAGTGTTCACACTACCCCAGTCCGTTAATAAGGTCTTCCCATAAATTAGCTTCACTCTCCTCCCCCCATGGAAGTATGAACTTGTTGGTAAAGTATCAAGTAACATTTGCATAGTGTAACGATTTTTTTGTCTCTGTTTTTGTTATCCTCTTAAGACTATTCAGAGTAGTATATTCCCTGTGACTCATTTGCTTACAAAATTCTGTGCCTCAGAAGCAGAGTTTTCTTTTTTTTAATTGATCTTGTATTACAGCTTCAGCTTGGCATTTTCTGATGTGAGATCTCTGGCGTGGATTTGGATTCTGTAGTGCTTTGAGGGATGCTAGTTATGCAACCTAATTTTGCAGAATGCCTCTGTGTATGTGCTTCCCTGGGGCTTCAGTTTAGTTGTCATCTATCATTTTAGCACGGTGATTGATTACTCTCCAGTATTTAATTTATTTTCTGCAGCTTCTCAGCTTTTTATTCAAGTGGTAAACACATACTTTTCTAGACACATTTCCAAATGCTGTGTTTTCCAGGTGCACCACAAGTCATGCAATCAATCACATTTATCTCAACTAGGAGTTTAACCATTTTAAACCATTTAACCATTTAAATAGCTGATTGGCTGATATTTTATCTTGGATTCCATTATTTGGCAGCTTTGTACTTGAAATCTGTATTATATTTTTCATTTTTAAATACCATTATTTTGAATTATACGTGTTATATAGCAAGTATATATAACGTGAAATCTCCTCAAAAATCTCAAGGTTTAGAAATGCATTCCTCATTGAAAGATGGGATTTTCCTGTGTCATATGGATGCAGGAGTTGGTGCTTTCGGGGAACTTCCCAGGACATTCACTGTAAAGTCTAGAAATACTCTGCAAAATGTACGATAGCCTGGAGAGCTCGACTAGTGCTGTACAGCAGTGCACTTTGATCTTTCTAATAATAAGTCTCTCAATACCTTTTCAGTTCTAACAGAAATAGTGTCCGGGCTGCTCTTGTGCCATAAGCCTTTTCCACTCATCCTTGTGATGCCAAATGAGAACATTTGTTTAGGGAGGAAGTAGCAGGAAAAAAAAAGAGTAGGATGTCAGTGTACATCCTTAACCACTTTTAGTGGGATTTAGCTGCTTGAAGCATGTCTTAAGGTTTGTAACCAATTTAAGTTGGTTAAAATAGGTATTAAAGCATTAGCTATTAAACTATTAACAGTTTATCCTGTTGATAGCAGTGATACTTTCTCAAGAGTCACKGTCTATTGGGCAAATGCAAATATAGGGAGTTTTTAAAATGGGAATTACATCTAAACTTTRTAAGTATGAACTTAGACATTTTTAAGCAGCATAGAAGCAGTGACTGATTATCTATAAAAACCATATGCTTTTCTGAAAGATCTAGACATTGATGGTATACACTGCTATTCTTATAATAAGTAACTGCTCTATTAGTTGCTATAAAGCCATTATTTTTAGATTTTCACCAAAGTTTACCTATTTGCACTTTAGAGCTTGGAGGTAGGACCTGTCAGTGTAGA